TCAGGCAATCCACTCACCTCAGCCTCCCAAAGGCGCGGGATTACAGGCTGAGCCACCGAGCCCGACTTCTAATCGTATTTTTTGAGACATGGTCAGAGATTTTTTTTTAGGTGCAACCTCCTGCCTCATCCTAGCAATACGGCTCTGATTTGGTCCATCCACCCCGACACTATCATGAGCACTGGATTCATAACAGAACAATTTCTAAACCCTCCATCTTCAATTCAAAGTCCTGCTTCTCAAAGCTTTACTAGGCATCAGAATAACAGGGAGAGATTGTGAAAAACACAGATTGCCAGCCCCATTTTCAGTTTCAGATCCGTGGTTCGGGGCGGGGCCTAGGATTTGGCATTTCCAGCACGTTCCGGGGTGCCACTGACACTGCTCACCCACAGACCCCACTGAACCACAGGCCTCGTGGGCCCATTCCAACCAGCCACACTCACATCCTAACACCCAGATCTAGCTCACGCTTCCAAAGAAAACCCTGGGTTCTCTGTGCATATTGTCAGCTTTCCTACCCCATGCCTTTGTCTCATTCATGTATTCACCCACTCAGGAATTCATTCATTCAATCAAGGACTTGTTATTTCAGTCAACTTTTTTTAAAATATCAAAACGACTGGCTCTGTCAGGTGCCATCATGGTTTTTGGTACAAGGGAGAAAAGAAAAAATATAAACCCTTTTCATTTGTCGAGTCTTCATGGATCCCAAAGAGCTGCCGTGTACAAGCTCTCATCTGATCTTCTCCAGAGTCCTGAGAGGCCGACAGGGCAGAGATTCATTTAGATCTCTCACAAGTGAAACCAAAGGCCAAGGAAGAAAAGTAGGTCATCCAAGGTGATGCCAACTCGTCGGTCCAGTCCTTTCCAGGACAATGTTTCTCCACCCGGGTACACTACAGGCATCCCACCCTTCAGTATTCATGGGGGCACTGGTTCCAGGACCCCGCAGTATACCAAGTTGGCCCTGCAGAATCCACATGCAAAAAAGTGGGTCCTCTCTGTACCCGGGTGAATACCGTATCCTGCGAATCAACTTTGGTTGAAAAAAACCCACCCTAAGTGAACCCACGCAGTCCAAACTTATGCTGTTTAAGGGTCAACTGTACTTTGGTCATGGCTGGCTGAATTCCCTCTCTCCTTGCTGTCCAAATTGTACCCTTTCTCTAATGCCCGATCAAATACCACCTCCTCCGTGGAGCCCTCCCTGTTAACCCAAACTAAAATAATTGCTCCTGCTTATAAATGAAGAGAGTGCTTTCTTTTGCCTCTCTACTGGCTTTCTGTTATAAAATCACCTCTCTTTCTATAGGCCAGTCTCCTTGAGAGCAGGGTCAATCTCTGAGTCTCCTTTTTGCCTCCCACAACACCTGGTTCTCAGTTTACGGTAGAAGTTTGAAAAAGCCCAAAGAGCTGAAGGAAAGATAGAGAGATGAGAATTCCTCCTCTTTTCTGAGTTTTAGTCATGAGATAGCTGATGAAGGATATATGTAAAAATAAAAGCAGAGTTATCTGTTATCTCTATTTTCTATCTCCACATATGGGGTGGGGAGGACTAGCATTAATTAAGCAGTTGTTGGGTGCCAGGTATTTTATGTTATGACATTTTTGCCCTCATAACCTAATAGATAAATACAATTGCCCTATTTTCTTTTTTTTCTGGGTTGGAGTCTCACTGTCACCAAGACTGGAGTGCAGTGGCATGCTCACGGCTGCTACAGTCCCAACCTGCTAGGCTCAGGCAATCCTTCCACCTCAGCCTTCCAAGTAGCTGGAACTACAGGCATGCACCACAATGCTCGACTAATTTTCTGATTTATTGTAGAAACAAGGTCTCGCCAAGTTGCCCAGGCTGGTCTTGAACCCGTGGGCTCAGGCAATCCTCTCGCGTACACCTTCCAAAGTGCTGGGATTACAGGAATGAGCCACCACACCTGGCAACTGTTTCCATTTTTCAAGCAGAGGTACTGAGGCCCACGGCTATTTCAGAATTTGACCAAGTTCAGACACCCAAGGCATGTTACAGAGGGAGCCAAATCCAGCTCCATTTAACCTCTTGTGGCTATAGGAACACATGAAATTGCTTCTCATTATACTATGACAATGAGAAATTGCCCAGCAGCTTCCTACATAAGAAAGGAACTCATATGTAATCATAATTTTGAGATTGTCTTTTAGCAACATTGTCTCACCTTGTCACTGCTTTTCATTGATTCGCCACTTGCTGGTTGAATCCTTGGATCCATTTTTCCACAAGGGAAAAGGAATTTCATTATGACTCTTCTGGTTCTTCATGTGACCAGGTATCACTCATAGTGAAATGCTTGCCTGCGACTTAGACAGTAAATTCGTCTTAATAAGTAGTACTGTGTCATCAAAGAACATACCTGTTAGAAAAAAGAGTGTGGAAGGTTTGGGGTAAATCCTGGAATTGGGGGAGGGAGGGCATAAATCCAGAAATGCCTCCGTGAATAAGCCTGGAAGAATAGTTTTTGCAAAAATGGAAAACTCACACTTAAGGCAGTGTGTCAAACGACGACCACATCATAGAGCTGAGGATTTTTGGGGAGTTTATCCACAGGACTTTGCCAATGAACATCAGATGGACTTGACAGCGGCCATTAAGAGGCAGGCAGCATCCGTGGGATGGTGGACTCACCTCTGAGGAGCCACATGTGGGTTCTGCAGCTAAGGTTTTGCAAGAGCAGTGGCCTGCAACACCCTGAAAACCAAACAGACACATATACAATCTATGAGTGTATGAAATGCCAATCTGTTTCCCTTCCCCTTACAAGCATTGCAATATCCTACCTGGTTAACTCTTGTCATGTTTAATTGGCAGGGGTTATTCCACAATCTTATCTGTTTACAAGCTTTTAGGACAGTTAACTATAAATCTTGGCATCTTAACAGATTTTTAGAAATACACCAAGTTGCCCAGGCTGGTCTCGAACCTGTGGGCTCAGGCAGTCCTCTCACCTCGGCCTCCCCAAGTGCTGGGATTACAGGCGAAATATTTTATTTTTTAAAGCAGCTTTCTATTGTTATGCAGCCGGAAAGATTAAAAAAATCAAACATCTAGAGACAGGTGGAATTGGAGAAGTACATAATTTCTCTAATTCAGTACTGGTGATGGTGATGCAATATTGGCTTCAAGGGGCAACTTCAATCACTCATGTACATATGTTCTGAGATGTGACCCAGCAGAGACCCTGAGTTTCTTGGAAAAAAACAAAAAATTATACCAGATATTTGATTTTTATCACTGCTCCTGGGAAAGAAGAATCCAGAGGCAACTTCGCAAGCAGTGGCAAGTAGGTTCCTACAAATCTCTGTCTTGGGAAATTCATGGTAAGGATACATTCAGATCCATCTACAGAAATAAAACTTACTATTAATGGGTGTGCCTATCTGAGGACCACTGGAGGGAACGGTCATTTTGCCTGGTCACCAAGGGCTCTAAAACCATGAGCTTTGGTTGTAAAATAACAACAGCAGCAAGAAAATAGCTTATGCTTGCATGTTTTCCAGGTACCCAATAGTGTTCGAAATAGCATCTTAAAGCATACTTAGTCCATACAATTACCTTATTAGGTAGTTATTATGATTATTCTCACTTTATAGGATAAACTTAGAAACAAAAGGTCAATAACTAGTCCAAGGTCACATCCATTGTAAGCAGTGACACTGGCAGTCTAGCTTCTGAGCCCACATGCTTACCCAATATACACTACTGTTTCTTCATATAGACAATCATATATTTTTCCAATACAAGAAACACACACGACTAAAAATTTGAGAAAATGTGAAAAGAAACCACTGCGCTACTAACCTCACGTAATTGCCATTAGCATTTGGGATATTTGCTTTCAATCATATTTATATGCATATTTTTGCATTCATTGTAGTTCTATGATTTGTACTTTTATTTTTTCTCTTCATATATCAGAAGTATTTCCTATGTTGCTGAAAGTGTTCAGATGTTCATTTTTAATTCAGGCAAAATATTAACGAGCCCAGGTATACGGTATGAACTTACCAAATGTTGGCTACTTAGGTTGCTTGCAAAAGCCTAGAGCCGGTGAAAGCGTGTGTGGAGCCAGAGAACCTGGTTCAAATTTCTGCTCCTCTATTCACTAGCTACATAATCTTGATCAAGTTAGTTACCCTTTCAATGTTTCCATTTCCTTATCTGTAAAATGGGGCTCGTAATACCAACTACCACCTTGGGTTATTTTGAGAATTAGCTGTATTAATTAAAATAAAGCACCTAAAACACTGTCTGCAGACAGTTATTGCTATTATAAGTCAGTCTCCGGTGAATATCTTCATACACGAGGTACTATAACTAAAACAAAAACAAAAACAAAAAACTTCCTATGGCACATTCCAAGAGAAAAGATTACTGAGTCAAAAGATATACACTTTTTTTTTGTTCAAATAATTGATTCCTATTGCCAAAGTATTTCCACAAAGTGTTATAGAGATATATGTGTCACCAGTTATACAAGAAGAAACTATTTCTCAATGCACCAGTTATGTAAGAAGAATCTATTATTCTGACTTCCTTAGGTATTAACATTTCTATTGCTTTGATTTCCAGTTCATAAATATGTTCTTCAACTGTTTCTGATCTGCTCTTATATCCATCTATTGAGTTTTTAATTTGTCAGTTTAGCTATCAGTTCTGGAATTTCAATTTGATTCTTTATCATAATTAAACATAATCTGCTGAAATTTTCTATCTTCTCATCTAATTTTAAAAAATGTATTAATCATAGATATTTTAAAGTCTGTTAGTCCTATATCTAGGCATCCTCTAGGTCTGTTTTTAGTCATTTCATTTTGCCTTCTGGTATGCCTAGTAATTTTATGAATGCCAGACATAAAAGAAAAATTGTAGAGATAATTTGAGCCTCTGGAAGACCATGTCTTCATCAAGTGATGTTTTTCTTTAACTCCTGACAGGCAGTAGGTAAGTGAGATCTCTCTTGGATTCCCTGTTCTCAAGCTCTCTCTATATTGGAGCGCTCTGGTGCTTTTAAACAAATGTCTGGTAGATTTTATCCAGCTTTTCTACTTGTCCTTGCAGAGAAAGTTGATCTAAATGTAATAGCTGGGAGTGTGAGTCCATTAATTTAAAAACATTTGATTAAACCTCAATATAACTCATTTTTGTTTTAGTGTATAGTCATTTGATTACGAAGGATGGCTATATGTGTTTGCAAATATGCATCTTTTGTAAAATGTGATTCTATTCATATCTCATGTATTGGTTAAATGTGATTCTATTCTTTTTTATTTTGTTTTGTTTGAGTTGGAGTCTCACTCTGTTGCCCAGACTGGAGTGCAGTGGCCACTCCCGGCCACTGCAGCCTCGACCTGCTGGGCTCTGGTGATCCTTCCATCTCAGCCTTCCAAGTAGCTGGAACTACAAGCGCGCGCTACCACGCCCGGTTAATTTTTTAAAATTTTATTGTAGAGATGAAGTCTCGCCAAGTTGCCCAGGTGGGTCTCAAACCTGTAGGCTCAGGCAATTCACTCACCTCGGCCTCCCAAAGCACAGGATTACAGGCTGAGCCACCGAGCCCGGCTGTGATTCTATTCTTATTTCATTTATTGGTTGGGTGTTATGATGAGTTTGTATGAGCTCCTGTGAAATAATCATATTAATCTTTTGTTATTATGTTCAAATAATTGCACCTAGGCTACTGTTTGCTTGTTAGATTGTTGTTTTAATATAATGAAATCTATTTCATTGTTCACTTTGCAATTTGTTACAATATTCTAAGCCTATAAAATAAGTCCCTTTAGACTTCCTATGGCTTGAGTTTTGGTAATTTATTACATGTGCATAATGAGTGTAAAAGTTGATTTATTCCAAACTGTTAATCAGTCCATTTATTGCAAAATGCTTTCCTTCTCCATTGATTTGTGTTCCTGCCACTACCAAATATATCACTTCAATACATAATTTGTTTTGATCACATTTTTTGCCTCATTAATTTATCTATTTTGGTGTCAGTATCACATGGTTTTAATTATTATGACTTTACAAGGTATTTTAATATTTGATGAGACTCGTCTCTCATTAGTCTTCTTTCTTAAAACTGAACTTGGCTATTCTTGCCTACTTTCTCCTCTAGATTTATGCTAAAATCAAGTTTCCATCCCCACTACCTCAAAATGTAAGACCAAACAAAACTGCGAATTGATATTAGATTTCTACTAAACTTACAGTTTGGAAAGAATTGAAAATTTTAAAATGTCATCTTTTAAACTTGAAACCAATCTTTTGATTAATTTTTTTATAGCTCTCAAAAATTTTTGTTTCTATAGGTCATATATTCTGGTTAAGCCCAAACATAGATGTTTACGTATTCTGTTGCTCTTGTAAAATTAATCTCTTTTAAAAATTTATGTTTGAGTTAATGGTTGCTGATATTTAGAAATACTGTTGATTTATATTTATGTGTCTGCTAATAGTTTACTAATTTACTAAGTTTATGCATGTTTTTATTGACTTCTTTGGGTTTTCAAACTATAAAAATATTTTTCAAACTACAAAAATGTAAAAACACAATAATAATGTATCTTTTTTGTACTCTGAATGACTCTTCTTTCTTATGTGTTTTTTCTTACACTGATTGGAGTTTTAAAAATACTATTAAACAACATTATTATGACAAAACCATTATAGCAACTTCCATCCCACTTTGTTTTTAAATAGGCACATTTTTACTATTTTTGCAATAATTTTAATGTTATTCATTAGCATAAAACATGATCACATTGAAATAAATATGTTATTTTTTTCTATTTTTATCACTTCACCAGGAACAGATATTTCATTTTATCTGGTGCTTTTAAAAATAATCTATTAAATTAGTAGTTTACTTATTTTTTTAATTTAACTTAATAATGTTACATATTCTTCTTTTATAATTCCTAATTTGGTAATCTTTTGTACTGCTTGAAAACACATTATTTTGCATCCAGTTCGATTCTATTTTTAAAACAGAAAGTATAAATTATTTCTATTTAAAGTTATTTAACGCATAGTTTTTCGGTACCATTACTACTCCTTCAGTAGTATGACTCTATTAATGATTACGAGATAGTCCCTTTTTGTCATGTTTACAGTTTTTTGGCAAAAAATTTTGCCTTATTTGATATTCACAATGTTATATTTGATTTTGATAGGCATGTTAGGCTGGAAAATGCTTTACCATGAAAAAATATTTGTGCAATTATTATTTGAGAATGACTTCACAGCATTACCAAATCTGGGAGTGTAAATCTCAAATCTGGGATTTTCATTTTAATTTAATCTGAGGATCTTTCCATTTTGAATAGGAAAATTTAAGCCATTTATACTTGTCATAATTTTTAAGCTTGATTGGATTGACTTAATACTTTCTTCTTTTTAATAGTTCCTTTATCGTTTCCTTTCGACTATATTTGGCTTTTCATCTTTGATGCTTATTTAGAAAACAGATATCCTGTTTTCAATTCAACTAGTGCCTACATTAAGTAGTTTCACAATGATATTAAAATGCACTCTTATCTAATGACTTAAAGATAAGGTGGCTGGGCTTGGTGGCTCAACCTATCATCCCAGAACTTTGGGAGGCCTTGGCGAGTGGAATGCCTGAACCTGCGAGTTCGAGACTAGCCCGGGCAACTTGGCGAGACCTCGTCTCTACAAGAAATAA